AAGGGGAAGGCAGAACAAGACAGAGATAGGGAGGTTAGGTACTTGCAGACTGGTTCAGGACGAAGTAGAGATCGAAGGCTCTGCAGCAAGTAGGTGGCTCCTGGGTGTGCAGCAGCCCCCAGGGACCGCTCAGCACCAGCAGCCACATGCCGGGGACCACGCAGCCCCATCTCACCGGCCTCAACCCAGTGCTCGCAACTGTCGCCCCACTGGGCCCTAATGCTCCCTGGGGAGTGTGGCCACCAGCAGCCGGGCGTCGGGTTCCGCGGTGGGAGGCAGGGACAGCAGAGGCCACGTAGCTGTCGGGCTCGGCCACGGACCAGGCTCTCCCCGAGGCTCAGCAGGCCTTGGCACGCTGAAGCTACAGGTCTTTCACTCTGAAACGTTTCTCGAGCTCTCAGCTGGGCTGGACCGGGCTTTGGAGGAGGAGGCTGGGAGGCCTGGAGGCTGAGGACCCCGAAGCCACGCTAAGGCCCCATCAAAGGATTGTTTCTCTTCATCCATCAAGTAAGGTGGCAGTGCACAGGGTGGAAGCCACCGTCTTGGACCAGAAAAAGCGGGCTCTTTCCGGATGACCTTATTCCAGTGAGGAGGGAGTTTTAGCGGGGGCACATCATCAACAGGAAGTGAGAGACCAGCGGGCGGGGCTAACGCCTTTGGGGAAGAAGAAAGCCACAGAGACAGCCCGCCAGCACCATCTGTTTAAAGAGGCTTTTGTCTGCCATCTTTAGAGCGCTCAGGGGGCCCTACTCTCGCCTGAGTTTGGGCAGGAAACGCCTAGGATGCCTTTACGGCATGAGGACCCTTTACTACGGTGGCCTGTACCGGCCATTTTGACTCATGACATTACCCATAATAGGAGGGATCCTTACCCAAACTTCAATACTTACCCAGTATACTGGAGTCCCCCATTAGGGCGCCAATTGTTGTTTTCATCTGCAAGCTCACTCACGGAACAGGGTTCAGGAGGCCTGGACTGGGAAGGCAAGGGGCAGAATCACCACGCAGACTCCGGAGAGGTTTCTGGAACACTTCCGCTTTAGTCAGGAAATGCACAGGTTTATATAGAGTAAGGCGTGGGTGGAGCCAGGGTGGCGCTACTGGATTGCTATTGGATAGGGTTAGACAGGTTTGGAGCCAGGGCGGAGTCGGGATATTTGGCACATGGTAATTGGCCATATGTTAGTTTTTGAATTGTATGCTTTAGGGGCTGAAGTGAATGGAGTCATGATGTTAGAGGTTTTTGAGAGGAACAGTTTATGTAAGGTCAGATCTCTGCACATCCAAGGGGGCGGATTATTCCAGCCCTAATAGCCCTCGGAATTTTTCTCACGAGAGATGGGTGTGGTGCTCCTGACTCAGCCAGATTTTAATCTGATCCTCACTTTACCCTATCTGTCCAGGGCTGAGGAGATTTCTTATTCTACCTTTATTTCTAACAGATATGGACTTTAAAAACATGACTACAGTACCATTAACATAATCAACAAAAATGAATAATAATTACAAAATATCATCTAATACCCAGCTCATGTTCAGTTTTCCCTGGCTTTTCTCAAAATTGTCCTTTTATGTATGTGTTATTTGTTCAAGTCACAAAACATAGCCACAAACAATACTCACACAATTTATTTGTTAAAGTTTCCTTCAAGTTTCTTTTAATCTACAACAGTCACAGGAATTTGTCATATCTTCATTTATCCTTTAATTATTAAAAGAAACATGAATTGTGCTTGTAGCAAGGTAGGAACTTTTTATTCCCTAAATAGTACAAGAAAAGCACACAGAGAAATGTTCCTCAGTCTCTTTCCCCAGAAGCAATATTACCTGCTATAACATGGTGGATGAGAGTGATGATATGAGTTTAAACCTCTATTCTGCCATTTACTTAGCATAAATCTTGGGCATAGCAGGTAGTCTCTGTGCTTCAGTTTTAATAACAGTACATATCTGATTGGATCATTGAGAAAATTAAATCAGACAGAGTGCTGAAATGATTATTTATTAATAATTCCTTTGGCTTTTATCAAATTGCAGAATGATACCCATATTTCTTTATTTATTTGACTTGTTTTATTCATTTACCATCACAGCCTGATGATCATTCCACATTTGTTCTTATAGATTTGTTTCTTTCTTTGTAGCAATTAACTAAAATTTCATTGTATTGATTTACTATTGCTAGACATATAAATGTTCAAACTTTCATTATTAGCAAAAATGCTGAGATGAATATCTTTGTAGCACTCGACTGAATTCCTATTTAAAAAAAAGTCCAGGGAATACCCCTGGAAGTGAAATATCTGAGCTAAAGAGTTTGTACATTTTACTGTTTTATGGATAATGCTCAACTCCTGAAAGAAATTGTACCAGTTCCCATTTCCAAGAAAAAGTTACCAGGGTTCCCTTTCCCACTAACACAGAATATTTGGTTCAATCTTTCTAAGCATAGTTTTGGGGAAGTGATATTTCATAGTTTTAATGTGCATTTCTCAGCAGTGCATTTCGACTATCATGAGATGATGAAGAAAATATAGCACACATAAATGTCAGGAGTCAAAAGACCAAGTGACTGTTGAGAGGGAGTGAGAAAAAAAATTTTTACCTGGTAAAGAGGAAGTGACATGTATGTAAAAATGAGAAAGGCGTTGATAATGACCATCTTCAGAGATAAGCAATTACATTCATTTATTTACTTGCCCACTGTCTATTTTCATTAGATTTTAATTTCTCTGAGAGTATATGGGCCTTTACTATCTTATTTTATGGCCTATGTCTATCAACTAGGATGATGCCTGGTGCTTAGTAGGTGCTCAATAGGTAAATTCAGCACTTGATAAATATTTGTAAAACTAAAATGGACTGAACTAAGCTTCCAGAGATTGGTCCTGCCTATTTTGCTGACAGTAAGCATGCTGATGCCTCACCAGATAGGAGAAACTCTGAATTTATAAAGTATTTCATTTCCTCTGCTGACAAGAAAAACTTGCCTTGAACACAAAATCTTGAAATAGATTTGGCATGCTTTCTAAATGGAAAATATTTCTTGTAGCACCAGAAATTATTTTCCCATAGCTTTATGCTACATCAAAATATTGAAGTTGACTGAAAATGCCCCATTCTTTAATTTTGGTATGAGTTAGAAGCCATGTTTTAAACAAAGAAAATGTAAAACCCTTCTGTTTGAATTACCCAAACTTAAGATAGATTTTAAAAAGGTGATTGGTGAGAAATACCATTAAAATATACTGGTTTAGCATTGTAGTGGCAAAGAAAAAGACCCAAGGATCGGTGGAATAGATTGGAAGATGCAGAAACAACTCCAGATGTACTCAGCTATGTCATCTTTGACAAAGGAGTCAACCATCCTCACTGGAAGCAAGATAGCTTCTTTAATAAGTGGTGTTGGAAAAACTGGATTTCATCCTGCCAAAGATTAAAACTGGACCCTTATCTTTCATCAAGCACTAAACTAAAACCCAAGTGGATTAAAGATCTAAATATTAAAACAGAAACTCTAAACTTGCTGGAAGATAAGCTAGGCAGAACTCTCGAAGACACTGGCATAGGAAAAGACTTTATGAACAAAACCTCAATTGCCTGTGAACTAGCATAAAGAATCAACAAGTGGGAACTCATCTTATTAAAAACTTTCTGCACTGTAAGAGAAACCACCAACAGAGCTAAGAGACAACACACAATGTGGAAAAAATTTTACCAGCTGCTCCTCAGACAAAGGACTCTTATCTAGAATATATAAAGAACTCAAAAAAATCTGGGCCCCTAATATAAAGACTCAATTCAAAAATGGTCATCCGAAATGAACAGACATTTCTCAGACAAAGAAGTAAATGCAGCAAACAAATATATGAAAAAATGTTCAACATCACTGGTCATTTGAGAGATGCAGTAAAAACAACACTGAAATTTCACCTCAGCCCAGTAAGAATGGCTGCTATTGAGAAATCAACCAATAACAAATGTTGGCAGGGCTGTGGGGAGAAAGAACCCTTCTCCATTGTTGGTGGGAGTGCAGACTGGTGCAACCACTATGGAAATCAATATGGAGATACCTCAAAGAGCTTGGACTGGAGGTTCCATTTGACCCAGCCATCCCTCTGCTGGGTATCTTTCCAAGAGAATTAAAGGAATCGTATCACAGTGACATATTCATACCCATGTTTATAGTGGCACAGTTTGTAATAGCTAAAACTTGGAAACAGCTCAATTGCCTATCAGTTACAGACTGGATAAAGATTTTTCTATAAAATGGAGTACTACTCAGCCATAACGAATGAGAAACTAGAGTCATTCATAGGAAAATGGATTCATATTGAGGCCATACTCTTAAGTGAAATAATTAGGACACACATGTAAATACCAAATAGTTTCTCCGGTGTGAAAAACTAAAAGTGTAAGTAAGATCCAAATTGTATAACTGATAATGAGAAATAGGAAGAAAGGGCTAAAGGTGTAGAGGAAGTGGAAAGGGTAGGGGAAAGGAAATAAGGGACAAGAAAAAATATGAGAAAAGGAAAAAATGGAAACAAAGTCTTTGTAAATAGGGGAGGGAGGAGGGGGTGAAGGGAGGGCAGGGGTGTAGGGAACAAAAGGAGAACCAAGACCTGTCATGTAAAGGTACAAGATCGCAATGATGAATGTAACTGTGCTGTATACTTAAAAAGTATCAATAAACTCAATGAGAGACATATTTTATAGTTCTGAGTTATAAAGCCAGAACTTATTTATTTAGCAATCACATAGTAGCGGAGAAAATAATTCTCTCAGTTCTTCTCTCCGCCAGTGTTTGCTGGTGATTCCGTAAAATGATCTTACGCTTTAAATGGTTTTGCCAACTCTTTGTAAATTAGTGCGAATGTATTCATCAAAAGTATGTTTAGTGATTTTTTTAAAAGACAAAAGAAGAGGGATTTAATTTTTTAAATTGTACTTGCAGACTACTGACAATGAAATTCTTCTAATCCTTGGTTGATCTTCAGTTTTCCCAGATTTGCTCAAAGCGATTCCAGTCAGCATCCACGTCAATGTCATCCTCTTCTCCACGATCCTTGCTGTTCTGAGCATGGTGGAAACAGCCTTCTTCATGTACAATGCTTTTGGTAAACCCTTTGAAGCACTGCATGGTCCTCTAGGATTGTATCTTTTGAGTTTCATTTCAGGCAAGTACAAATTTATATCTTTGCGTACAAACTACAAACATGCTTTTCAATGTGTCAAATGATAGTCTGCCTAATACAAATTCATAATACATATGCATGAATGTTCACTGTATCGTTATATGTGGTAGAAAAGAGTGAGGAAATATTAGTTTTGAAGATTTGATCAAGAAGGATAGATGCTTGTATCAAAACATCAAAGAAGCAGTAAGTTTTTGTGAACATTATGAACCCAATTTGACTATATAAGAATAAAGAAAAGATAAAATATGATGAACATATTTTATATATATAGTCTTTAATATAGTCTTTATCTATCTATAATTATATATGGAAAGAGAGAGAGAGAGAGAGAGAGAGAGAGAGAGAGAGTTTCTTGTCTATGTTTATCTCTGCCCAGTAAACTCACAAGTGATTTTTATTTTTGCACATAGTTAGCAATATTTCCAAATGTTCAGTCACGTGCTTTTACTTATTCATTATTTTATTCACTTATAGGCTCAAAAAAAGTGTTAAGGGTTACCTACATGACTTGCCATATTCAGGCCTGTGGGTGCTCTGTATAGCATAATATTAGGTGAATCAGGCAAGAATAAACTCTAAATCTAGAAATTAGTTCATTGATGTGCTACTCAATAACTAGGACTGATGGGAAAGAATTTAAAATCCATCAGTGCTACAGGGTGCTTACAATGTATTTGCAAGAGGGAGAAGGAGAAAGTTTTTAAAAAATGAAAAAAAATTATGCTATGGGAGGTGTCTGATTCCAAACTTGCAAAACAATTCAATACTTTCCATACCCTTAAGGAACAAGTAATTTTACTGATGATCTCACGGAGTGACAGAGATTACATCTCACACCAGCAAACCTAATGAAAATTCCTGTGCAATGTTGCTTTCTGCCTTAGGATTGCCCTTTGACTACTGGCCACCCAGAACCAGACACGAACCTCCTTTTTTCTCTTAGCACTACTGCCTTCTCCCATACAACTCCAGCCACAGGCTTGCACAAATCCCTCTGTAGAAAATGAATCCCTGGGCTGGGGATTTCGCTCAGTGGTTCCACCACCTGTCTCACAAGCACGAGATCCCGAGTTTGATCCTCGGTACCAAGAAAGAACCTCTACTTGTTACTTGCATGCACTTCCTAGGGTCTTACCCGGTCCACATCTTGCTAACACAATTATTTACTCAACCAAAATGATTTCTCTCCAGTAGGGCTTGTGATAATATTTTTTCCATGTCTTTCACAAGCACCTAATGGAACTTTAAATTATACAGCTAATGAGTACTACTCTATGAGGACAGGCTAAGGCTTTCTCATCTTTGTACATCTGGCCAAAGATACTGAAGCTCTGTGCACAGTAAACAATTCAAAAGACATTTGCTGACTTGGAGAAGTAAGCCCAGTAAAAAGATGTTACCTTGCACACTTAAACAGTACAGGTTAGAGAAGTCAGAATTCAAATAGGATCAAATTATCAGAGCCAACCCATAAAGGCAGTAGGACATGAGTTGGAGAGGAATAGGATGGAATATGGGAAAAGAAGGCCCAGAGCTTTGCCAGGGCAGATGAGGTAAGGGCTCCGGACATGCCTTTCCGGGATTCTAGCTCAAGCTCAAGTTTGAGTTACCAGGAAATGAGTAAACGGAGTCTGAGGACTGAAGAGGTAACTCAAAGGCAGCTACCTTCCCTGAGGTCTGGGGAACAAAGAGCTGGGTTCACCAGAACCTAGGAGATTGAGGAGAGGCTCCAGGGCACTGGGTCTCGGACCTTGAGGAGCTGGCACAATACCTCAGAGGTTTCTATGACTGTGGAGAAGATTTTGAAAACCCCCAGTTCTGCTTCTGGGGAGAGGGTTATTCCTGCTGGGGCAATGCTTTCGGAGACCACAACAAAGTGGAAGGTATAAGCCCCTCTTCAGCTATTTCGCCTTTCCCCCTGGTTCTCACTTTTGGCAGAGCCTAACAGCAGGAAGCAACTGACAAGGCGAAATAGTTCTGTGAGTCTTGACCCAGCATCTCAGTGAAGAGAAAAGAAAAGCTGATTTGAGCTGGGACACCATGGCTTATTAATTAGCATAGCCACCTAGTGCTCCAGCTTCTGAATGAAATTCAGAACAGCCCATTTAAAGACAAATTATTTGACAGCTCTGAAGGACAACCAAATTAATGATATTCAAAAAGCAAAATGAGTCAAGTGAGTGTCAAATTGAACCCAAGACTCAGATCTTATCTCAGCCTTTGGGCAAATCTAACGCAAGGAGAACCTGGCCACACAAATATATAGGGGAACAATTAAGTTACTCATCTTGGACCTAAGAAAGTCAAAGCAGGTGCTTGATAAATTGTGATCAGTGAAGAGAGAAAGGGACAAAGGAAAGGAAGGGGTCAGCTCCAGGTCTATGTCTCACAGAGGATACAAGCCTGGTATGTGCAGGTCATTCCGTGTTTGTTTCTAAGCCTTTGACCTTTGTTTTTAAGTACGAAAAGTTTTAATATTTTTTTAAAACTGTGTAGGACAAAAGAAATGTTTGAGGGTCATATGGACTGGCAGTTTGTGACTTCTGAGCATAAACAGATCCCTTGTGAAACACAGACCACTCATTCCCTTTGAATCCACACATGGTACTCAGGAGCCCCTGATGTTTAAGAAACGGTTTCTCTTGAGCTGTAGTATTCATGCAGACCCCAGCAGCATAAGGTAGGATTTCACAGCACTTATCACTAACTCTCCAAGTGTGAGCCAATGTGCCGCACATTGGAGGCCTGAGGCTGTCACGGGTCCTTTTTCTCAGGTGGGTGTTGCATTTCATCTGGGGACCCCAGGGGTAGCTTCTTCCGTGAGATTTCCTCCCGTTTCTCTTACCCCACTGCCAGGTGGCCACACTCACAGCTTCTCTCTGCTGATCTTCCTTCTTTTTCAGACCTCATTTCTCTATTTCTTCACCCCTCTCACGTGCTCGCTCCCCAACTTTCCCCCTTTCCTTGTGCTGAAGTGATCCTAGGGCTCTTCTTTCAACTGTTTTTGTTTGTTTGTTTGCTTGTTTTTTCCTAACTGGGTGAGGAATCCATACGTTGGCATTCTGAGAAATGAAGAAAAATAAAAAAAAAAAAAAAAAAAAAAAAAAAAAAAAAGGAAGAAGAGGTCTTCTGTTTTTTCCCCTCCGGAACCTTCTACACTGCCCAGAGTAACAATGCTGTAAGCATCTCCTCATGTCTTCCAGTTGGTGTATGACAGGTGCCGAGTGAGACCAGGAAAAGGTCCAACCCAGTGGACCAGGCCAGCAATGTGTTCAGTCACTACTGCTTACTCATCCCCCAATAGCCCCTTCCCTCCTGACTCAGACACTCCTGCTTCTTTTAGCAGCTCGGTTAGGCTCGTATTCCTCAGCTTTCTCGATGTAAGGTTTCTTCACTTTATTTTATTAGTGCAGGTGTGTAATTCATGCTGTTTACGGTCCTCTTGGGGAATGGTTTATGTACACGTTACAGTTTTTTAAAATCCCCTTCCTTCCACCCCACAGAGTTCCTCGGTCACCTTTTTCCTACCTGTTGATAATATTTGTTTTAGAGTATGTTATTGCTTATAATGTTTACACTGATTAGGGTTAGCAATGGCGTATCTTTATTTCTCTCATTTCCCCTTCCCTTCTCCTGTTCCCTTGGTCCATTTCCCTATTGAACGAGATCTGTCCCCTTGTCCCTTTCTATCCATCTTTTATCATTTTCTTTGTACTTTTCCTCACTCAAGTGAGGGATACCATATAGTATTCATGCTGGTTTGTGTGATTTATTTTACTCAAAGTTATGTTTTCCACATGTATCTATTTTCCTACAAATGCTTCAAATTTGTCATTCTTCTTTATAGCCAAATAGTACTCCATTATATATAGAGAGCAAATTTTCTTTATCCAGTCATCTGTTAATGGGTATACAGGCTGCTTCCAGGATTTAGCTATTACAAATTATGCTGCTGTAAATATTGGCATGTAAGGAATGCTGTAGTATGATGACTTAAGCTCTTTGGGGAAGATACCTAGCAGGGGGATATTCAGGTCATAAGGAATTTCTAATTTCAATTCTTTGAGAAACTGCCATAATGATTTCCATAATGGTTGTACTAGCTTGCATTCCTACCAGAAATGTAGGAAAGTTCCTTTTTTACTGCAGCCATGCCAGCATTTGTTATTGTGTTATTTTCTTATGATTGGCATTCTTTCCAGAATAAGATAGAATTTTAGTGTTGTTCTACTTTGCGTTTCTCTAATGGCCAGAGATGTTGAACATTTCTTCATATACTTGTTGGCCATTTGTATTTTTTCCTTTGTGAAGTGTCTGTTCATTCCTTGAGTCCATTTCTTGATTGGGTCTTCAATTTTAGATGTTCTATGTAACATTTCCGACCCTATCATTGCTATAAGGAACCCATGAAACTCAGTTAATGTGCTTTCTCATCTTGTCATTTATAAGCTAGTTCTGAGAATGTAGGATTTAGCCAACACATTAATGGCTCCCCATAGTTCATTCTGGGCAGGGATGCTAGGATCACCTGAAGAGCATTCTAAAATTACTCATGCTAGGTTTCACACCAAAACAATTAAGTCAGAGTCTCTATGGGTGGGGTTTGGGCACTGTTTTTTTGTTTGCTTGTTTGTTTTTTTTTTAAAGCTCTGCTGGGTGATTCTAGTTATATCCAGTGTCAAAAACCACCGATACAGGCACATACATTTCATTTTTTTTTTTTTTT